TCTTTTGGTGAGCACGTATGCGTTTCTGGGGATTGTATATGTGACGATGAAACCGTCAGGACAAAGGATACAATTTTGGTAGATGATTTCAAATAATTTTCCAAAACAGTCGTGCTTCCTGATATTCCGACAACAGTGTCGCGAGAGTTCCAGTTGCTCCTCATCACCAGCTGCTTAGTTTTCTCGGTCTGTCATTGTAGCAGCTCTGTTGGGAACATGGCAGTGTCTCACTGTGGATTCCGCCCGTATTTCCCTGATGTGGTCGAACTCCTTTTTCACATGTTTATTGGCCATTTGGACGTCATCTTGTATGAAGTGTTTGTACACATCTTTTGCCTATTTTTCAGTTGGGCTGTATTTTTATTATAGATCTGTTGGAATTATTTATCTATTCTAGAATCCGGTCCGTTGTCATTTCTTTTTGCTGTCCCTAACTTTCTCATTCTGAGCTTGCCTTTTGACTCTATTAATAACGTATTTAGTGAACAGAATTTTTATTTTAATGTAACTCAATTTATCAGTCTTTTCTCGTTAGTGCTTTCCTCCCCCAAAAGTCATGAAGATTCTTTTTCAGACTCTTTGCCAGAAGTTTCGTTTTACCTGTTACACGTAGACCTACGATCTGTCTGGCAGTGATGTTTTTGTGATTCTTGGTGGCAGGGACCCTACCATGAGAAAGCTAACTCGAGACAGGGAGGCAGACATGACAGGAGGTGAAGAGACAGCCGTGAAGGCTGGCTTGTGGATTCTGAAGGCAGCCATCTCTAGTGCCGCTGGTAACTTCTTCCTGTCAGACCTCGACATCGCTAAAAGTGTCATCATAAATTAAATCCTGGTCATAACTGTGTAGGGCAGTTAAGAGGAGGCTCTGTCCCATTTTGGGGGCTATGTTAGGACAGAATCTTGACGTCAGCAGAGCCTAGGAGAAGAGCGTTCCAGCACCGCAAAGAGCGCTGGGGCCAGCGGCAGCGCCCCAAACTCGCTGCGCCCAGGTGGTTTTCAGACTCTGCAAGCAAATCACCTTCTGAGAGTCCAGATCCCCAAGCTCCTGGAAGCTAGAAAGAGGGAAGCGTGCCCGCTCTCACCCCTCTCCGAAGCTTTACTTTCCATCCTAGGATATTCTTGTTGCGATAGTGGCCGACAGTGACTGGACCTCTCAACCAACCCCCTTTCTGCAAGACTAGGGACTAAGTGTGACTGTCACGTTAGAGCACAGCGGTGCAGACGTTCCTCAGTCTGGTCTGGTGGCCTTTCCTCCCGATTCCACCAGTACGAGGTAAAGATCAGGCCCACGTATCTTGCTTTAAATCTACAGCCAAAAATGGACTGTTGGGAATATGAAAAATACCCTTCTGTTATGAGAGATCCTGTAAGTGAAATCGTGTCTGCTAACAACACAGGCGACGATACAACTATAGTAAATGAAATTTTTTTTAGGGTCAAAAATGCGTACAATAGTCCCAGATATCAGAGCCTCATTTAGCTAAAAACAAGGCGCATGTACTTCAGGTCGAGTTGACTTTATTTTAGATCCAGCTGAAAACACAATCGATGAGGTCTAATCTGTGTGCATTCTATATGAACAGGACCCAGAAGATTCTGCTGGGCAGATTTCTGAGTCTCATCTTCTGAGTTCCTGTGTGAGCCTCAGGCCAAAGAAATACACATCTCACAAAATTCAAGTTCAAATGCATATTCAGAAAGGGAATATTTCACCCAAAGAAATTACATCGTCTGCAGAGTAGTTCTCACTAAACCGTAGCCATGAATTCACATTACCAAGTAAACGCTTAGCTTCTTTGTATGAAACATCTAAACTTAGAGTAAAGATGCTCATTTTTGGTAGCCGTTAGATAACACCTGGGTGTGTGTTTACTCTGTGACAGGGAGCACGATGGACGCTCCAGAAAAGAAGGAAGAATCAGCCCCAACTGAATCTCCAGCTCTTTTGACAGAAATTGCTCACTTCTTTGAAATTTCAGTGCTGTGTTTCTTTCTGTCCACCCAGGTTTCAAAGATCGTAGGCTGAGTTTCAGATTTCACTCAGGGCATCTCGTTACATATATTTAAAAACACACAAGAAAAATAACGGTGGCAGGTTTAACCCAAAGTGACTTTTATTTTCTCCTTTTCTAAGTTTTCTATTTTTTCTTCAGTAAGCATGTGTTAAATTTATAATCACATTTAGATTGTTCTTACGATAGGAATAATCTACATGTGATTTTAACAAGTAAACTGAATTTTCTTATCACTGATCATGCTTCTAGTAGCCTCCTGGATAAGTATGATTTCTCATTTACAGAGAACAAGTTTCCTTTACAGAATCGGAAATAAAATATTCTACATATAATTATTCAATATGGGAACCTACAGTATAATAAATTTATTTCCTGATGTAATAATCTATAGATTCCTTCTACTGTGCTATAGGTAAAAAGGAAAAAAAAAAAAAAACAAAAGTATAATAAATTTATTTCCTAATGTAATAATCTCTAGATTCCTTCTACTGTGCTATAGGTAAAAAGGACAAAAAAAAACAGAATTAGAATCAGAGAGCCCTGGCTTAATTCTTGGTTAAGAATTAAGTCTAAGCGAATCTCAGTTTTCTGCACTAAAATTAAACGGACACTGTAACAAGCATTATAAGAATACTTTCCCTCACAGCTCGTGGTACTCAGACAAAACTGAAAAACCACATTGTTAACTGGAAAGCTTTGGAGAAAGGTTTTGAGAATTTTTAACGTGCACAGGACTTCAAGGAAGTCCATGCACAATGCCACGGAAATTCCGAAATTCTTCTTAGACGTGGTATCACTATGTGCTGTTTTATATCTCTAGACTATTTTATGTTGATCGGGTTTGCTCCCTTTTTAAAAAATAAAAATGACAGGACGTGATAAGGAGATCAAATACTTCATGTACACTATGAAGGAATTTTTGGGGTCCAGCTGCAGCCGAGTCCTCATGTACGAAGGATTGTCGGGATATGGAAAAAGCCAGATACTTATGGAAATCGAGGGCCTGGCCCAGCGCGAGAACCACAGGTGCGTGTCCTGCAACGACCTTTTCCTGTGAACCGGAGAATCCGATGTCCTTAGACTTTCACCTGCTTTAACGCTCCGCCCCTTTATGGAGTTTGCCTTTGGCAAGCTACCCACGGTCTATCGATTATCGGGTGCCATGCATCCTTGTGCTAAACAAATAATTAATGATAAACATATTAAAGCCAGGAAATGGGGAGCTGGGGTGACTCGTCAAGATCCTACTCGGTCGCACAGGAGAGAAAATGAGAGCCTGCACGCAGGCGGAGGGCGCAGGACGAGAGAAAAGGGGGCGGCGGGGCTCAGGGCCGCGGTGCAAGGAGGAACCGTCTCATAAGCAGGAACGAATGCGGGCTCCCTGACCGCGGGGGGAGGTTCTGTTACAAGCCCCAAGGGGGCAGAGTCGGTGCTTTCATCTAACCCTTACTATTTTCAAAAACTACGTTTAAAAACTTTCTTCTGCTTCTTGCCTCTCTCCTGAACAGGACCATCACTATTGCCTTGACTAAGATCAGCTTCCAACAAAATTTTTATACCGTCCAGATACTCATGGCCAATGTACTAGGTCTGGATGCTTGTAAACATTACAAAGAACGACAGACCAACATTCGAAATAGAGTCAAAACTCTGTTGGAAGAAAAGTTTTATTGTATTCTTAATGACATTTTCCATGTCCAGGTAACTCTCTAGTATTAGACCTCTGCAAGAAATAGTGACGGGCCAGATGTAGCAACTCCTCCCCGATGTGTTATGACTTAGCATCTCTTTGGCCTTTATTATTCTTTTCTTTTCTCACCTGGAGGATCTGGGGAGTGAGGAAATGGCTCCCGGTCCTCCTTGGATGAGCACCCACTTTCCTGAGACATCCCGAAGGTGTCCAGAAATGCCATGCCCAAGAAAATCCAAATGCCACTTGCTGGTTCATTTTTCCCTCACCTTTCCGTCATAGGTGTACAATGCTAGCTAATCCGGGGCACAGAGTCACTGTGCTCCCGCCCACAGGTGCCTGCCTGTATCTAATAGATTCAATGACAGGGTGTCAGAGCTGGAAGTGATGTTACGGATTATGTAACACACGAGGATTCTACGGCACAGAACAATAACGCGATTTGCCCAGAGTCACACAACTAGGAGTTCCCTTTGCTGTTTTTCCATACTCAATATTCTCATTAATCTTTATACAGTTCCCTATTTCACGAGAGGCTTCCAAGATGAGCACTTCGAAAAAGCAAAAGCAGTTGGAAATATTGTTTCTGAAGATCTTGGAGCAAGTAAGAAAGTCGTGGGTTAGGAAATGGGGGGAGGAAAACTGGGTAGTTCACCCCAAACGTAGGCGGCCCGAGGGGTTCAGACTCTACTGGCGAGAAGCTTTGAGATGTATGAAAGCCTTGTCCTAAAGTGCTTTAATTCTCCTCCATCCTTTCGAACCTCAAGATGAGAGTCTGTTCAGAATGTAGCTACACTTGAATGGAGCCCCTTAACCTTACTCCTACGAGTCTGGCCTCTCCTTAATCCTTAAAACCGGCCCTCTTCGTTGCTCTGTCTCTCTGTGGTGCAGTATATCTCAGGGGCTGTGTGAGCAGGCGCTGCAATCGGACTGCCAGGCCCGGGACCCCGAGGCCTATTACTTGCTACCTGGGCAACCTCGAGCAAGTGACTTAATCTGTTTTATCATCTATAAAATGGGAAATGATAGTACCTAGCTCGCAGGGTTGTGAGGTTTAGATGACTAGATTATACACGAAACACTTAGAACAGGGCCTCTTTCATCAGAAACACACAACCAATGTTAGCTCCCTCTCTGAGCAACCTCATCACCGTCCACTATATGTTGATGGTCACCAAGATTACACTCCGGTCCCCACCTCTCTTAGAAGCCCCAGAACCATATTTTCAAAAACCTCCTATAAGTCTATACGTGAATGTAACAACGCCCGCTTAGCTCAGTGTCTGATCGTAAATTCATTTTTTTCCCCTACTCCTGTGCCTTTTCTTCCTCATTCTGATCCCAATCCTTGATTTATTCACCAGAGACCTGTCAGAGCATATGCAAATCGCACCAACCATATGTTTTTGCTCTCCAGATAATTCCCAATGCTAATAAGATGAAAGCCAAAGGTTTTTGTTTTTTTAACCTGGTGAAATGCTACTTGTCCTTCAATGTCACCTCTTCGGTGAGAACTTTCCAGATCGCTAGGTGTGCTAGTGAGGAATCTTCCACTGTGCCCCTGTTAACATCGCTATGACATTTCTGGTTGTATTTACCCCACCATAGAGCAATTTGTTATTCCCTATATGTGCGTCTTTTCCCCTCTGAAGGACAGCGAGCCTCTTGCTCATTTTTGTATTACCATTAACCAGCAGAGTGTCTGGCACATGATGCATGACCACTACAAGTTTATGGCACTTTATCACGTTTATAATCAAGCACCCTCCTTCTCCACTCAGGTAAATAAGCAAAGCAATATCAGCAGTGTCTGAATGTCAGGCCTTGGACTGTTTGCGTCACAAGTATCCAGGAAGCTTCTTTAAAAATACGCGGATCTCTGAGTTCTGCCCTGAAATATTCAGAAGAGCTTGGGTTGGGCTTAGGAGTCTGTTTAGCTGTTTGGTTTTGTTGGAGAACTTCTCGGTGGTTCTGATGTCCCCTCTGGTTTGGAAACCACTGCTAAAGCTGTGTTTTAACTATAGGCTATGACGACAATCTTTGGATCATTTATTCTCTGTGTGACCTTGGCAAGTTCCTTAACCTCTCTGTGCTAAATTTCCTCAGTAAGGAGACTCAGTAGTTCTACCTGATGTGAGTGTTATGCGGATTAAATGAGTTAATTTATGTGAGAGTATCACACAGTGCCAGGAACGTTGTGAATGCAGTGTAAATGCTGGCTTTTATTCACATTAGAGAGACTCCAATTCAACCTCCTCATTTTAAATATGAAGAAGCTGGAGTCAGTGATGGAATATGGAAATTATGCTTGTTTTGGTCCTGCTTTACTTTCCTCGATTCACAAACAATACACTGACAACACCATCAATTACGATGTTCTCAGGGTCAGTGAAGAGCTAAATTTCTGGTAACAAAATGAGGCCGTCAGAGCAAACTTCCTATGTGTAAGGGATGAGGCAGGTTAGAACATTTTGCAATAATTGTCTTACGTGATCTGGAATTTTAAAGTGGCCTTTGCTGCTTTTGTTTATAAAAACATAGAGGAGAAGAACGGGTAAGCCCGTGTCTTCCCAGAGGGAACCAAGAGATGCCAAGAGCAGCCCGGGGCAGTAGCAGTGGGGCAGCTCGTCTCTGTTTAGACCCCACACAACAGAGACACAGGGCCTGCTATGCAACGGCCGCTACCAAGACGTGAGGACGCTGTATCCCCAGGACCTAGGATCACGCCCGACCCTGACAGGTGCCCAATAAATGCTTAGCGAGTGAATGATAATCCAGATGAGTTGGAGGGAGGTAGTCTGCACGAGAACGGGGACACGTGTTCTGTTTAAAGTGTCACACACACTTGAACACATAGTTCAAGCCAGAGCAGAATGAGCCGCCGGCCGGGCCAGCCTCCTTTGGCGCTGTGCGTCCAGCACGGAGGCCGGGGCATGCTGGCTGTATGTTGGCTGAGTAGATGTCAAGTCGATATCCCCAGGAGACCTTCATTTGCTACCAGATTAAAATGATTTGTAGGAAACATCAGTTATTTTTGTGTGGCTACAATCCCACCTATCCTACAAATGTGTATTATCTTTACACAAAGATTTGACCGAGGAAGAGTCCATTCCAGCCAGCTCTGTCCAAATTGCCACAAATTTCAAGGTAGTGGAGTCCAAATTAACATGAAGTCTTTGGAAAGAAAAGATTTAACTCGGCACCACAAAACCGATGGATACACGCGCGGACCGGTCCACGCACATGAACGGAAACCCAAAGTCCCACAGCATTTCTCTTTCTGTTTCTCTGCCACGTCCAGAAAGTGCAGGAGGAGAGGATTATTTTCATCATTGACGAGGCCCAGTTTGTGGATTCGAACTCCTGGGCCTTTATGGAGAAGCTCATCCGGACCATTCCTATCTTCATCATCATGTCGCTGTCTCCCTTTCTCAACCTACCCTGTGCGGCCGCCAGTGCCATCATGAAGAACAGGAACACCACCTACGTCGCGGTCGGCGCCCTGCAGCCTGAGGACATCCGCAACAAGGTCTGCCTAGACCTCGACGTCGAGGGCATCCCCAAAGAGCTGGAATCGTGAGTGTCCCTCTTCGCTCCTGAGGTCTTGATCTCTGCATTCCTCGCCCCGGGCTAGACTTCATCAGATTCCCTAAGATGCGTCTTAAAGCACCTGTGTCAGTGCTCTTGCTGGTCCTACCTTTCCGGGGGGCCGTTCCTCACGTTCGAGAGTGGGGAAGCTGCTCACCTTTTCCTCCTTCGGTCCCTATTATGCCTTCTCAGATCCTGCTCAGTGACCTCAGTCCCACGTCCCCGTCTTCGTGATGGGTGTGGGTATGCTCTAATCGCTCCTTAGTCAGGATGTCATCAGGGGCAAGCGACACAAAAAGCAGACTGGTGAATGCGAAAGACCGCGACCTGCAACTCAGCGAGGTCCCGCCCAGCTGGCGGTGACGGGGTCTGATGCTGGTGGCGTCTGTGTGCCGGTGCACAGCTGGCCCCCGAGTCAGCGCTCCCTGAGCCTCCCGGGGCTCCCCGCAAGCCCTGGGGTCCTGACAGCGTTCCCCTGAATGGCACGAACCACGCCTCAGCTTTAGCTGGCTGTTCGCACCCACTTTAGCATCTGCCTCTGTCTTTCTAGCGAGGTTGCCTTGCTCCGAGAAGGAAGACGCCTTAGACACGGTCCCACCTGGGACAATGCCAGGCGCGCACTGGCATGCTCTCGGGACCTTTCGTCTCTCTGTCATCGTCTCCCTCTCTCTGTAGATGTACACGTGTGTACGTGGACATGTCTGTTTGGTACGTGTGTATACATACGTGTACACGTACGCAGATGTGTATCTACGCAGTGTGTGTGTGTGTGTGTGCGTGCGTGTGTCTGTATACGTGCGCTTACCTCGCGATCTAGCAATCCCAGTCTTTCTAGGGATCTATCTCAAAGGTATATAGATAAAAGTATGAAGTGACATATGAACGAAGTTCTCACGGAGAACTCTGCATCATCTGCGTTAGTAAGAGACCGGGACACTCCGAATGCCCGTCTCCAAGGCGACAGTCAGAACCGAGCAGATGCGCGCACACGGCGGGGCCCGCACCGCGGGGCCCGCACCGCAGCGAAGACAAACGAGGACCCACGACATGGGTGGAGGGCAGGGGCAGGACACGTTGTTGAGCGAAAAAACGAGGTGCAGCCCGGCGTGCCGCGTGCACGGCGCTGTCTTTTCCAGAAGAAAGGGCTGACACGTGCGCGTGTCTGCGCACGGTTGCCAGGAGAGACGCTGACACGACAGAGCAGCCGCTGATGGAAAGGGCGGCTTATGAGGCCGGGAGGGGCAGGCACGGGTGGAGGGCAGGGGCAGGACATGTCGTTGAGCGAGAAAACGAGGTGCAGCCCGGCGTGCCGCGTGCACGGCGCTGTCTTTTCCAGAAGAAAGGGCTGACACGTGCGCGTGTCTGCGCACGGTTGCCAGGAGAGACGCTGACACGACAGAGCAGCCGCTGATGGAAAGGGCGGCTTATGAGGCCGGGAGGGGCAGGAAGACAGAGTGTGTGTTTTATGTAGTTTGGGTTTTGGAAAGATGTTAAATGGTTTATATAATTTTTTTTTTAAATGAAAGAAAAAGAATCTCTCAAAACAGAAAATCAACTGAAACCAATGGAGAATGAGATGGGAAATGAGATGACTCAGACGGGTCTTCCAGAGAGACGGCTCCCGGCGTAAACAGGTCGCCTCGTTTCACTGCAGGTACCTGGTGGAGGGGAGCTGCGGGATCCCGTTCTACTGCGAAGAATTGCTCAGAAACCTGGACCATCACAGGGTGCTTGTTTTCCAACCACTGGAGTCTGAGGAGAAGACAAACATGACCTGGAGTAACCTGTTCAGTAAGTTCCACGCCGCGCCGCTCGGTTCTCCCCACGTCCCCCACAGAGAGGCGGCGGCGTGGCCGTCCCCATGGTCTGCGTTCCCCGAGGGCGCAGGGTCTGGGTGAGCCAGGAATGTCGACCTGACAGCCCGGATGGTGAGAGCAGGTGACGTTGCCTGCGACAGACACGAGAGAACCCTGGGGGACCTCACAGCCAGAGCCAGAACTCGGGGAGCTTAGACATCATCTGAGGGGAGGAGGTTCCTTGTTTTCCAGAAGTAACACTAAGAGCTCGGAGGGAATTGTCAGCAGGGCCCCCGTGCTACAGAGACGTGCAGGAGGGCGAGCTCGGAGACAGTGGCACAAAGGAGGCCGGTTGGAATTTTAAGGGAGATAATTTTAGTGAAGGGAGAAGGGGGCGTCGAGCCGGGGGGTGGGGAACCGAGCCGGAATGTAGAGGGTTAAGGCTCCCGCGAATGAGAGAGAAGTGTCCCTGGTGGCTACGCAGCACGTTCAGGGGGCTGGCAGTGATGGAAACCCCACGCACTAGCCACGAAAGAAAGGAAGAAAAGACAGGAAGGGGAAGGGAGGAGGGAAGAGGAAATGAAGTATGCTTTGACACGAAGGAGACACTTTATGTCCTCGAGCATTGAGGAGATAGAGTCTCTTCCATGAAGAGAGAGCGCGAAGATGTGATCCAAAGACAACCTTGGCCTCGAGTTCCAGTGCCACGTGCGCCGTTTAACTGCTGATATTGTGGGACTGGTCACCATCTTCACTGGGGATGTTCACCTTCACGTTCTCACGCCACCTCTCAGGTGCTACGTGGGTGGCGGGGGGCGGGGGGAAGAAGCCATGCATCGCCACGTGCGCCATTTAACTGCTGATATTGTGGGTGGCGGGGGGCGGGGGGAAGAAGCCATGCATTTTGGAGTACTCAGAGACGAAATTTCTAGGCAAGTTTGCTATGCAAACCCCTTGCCATTTTAAACATCGCTTTCCGATGCTGGTCATGCCACGAGCAGAGTCCCCATGAACGCGTGTGCATCTGAGTGGGGGTGTTGGGGTGTGCATGCAAGTATATGTCGTTACGTGCTGTGAGATACACCCCGATAATCTTTGAATCAAATTTTTGTAAAACTGCATGTTTTACGGAAGACTTCCCATAGTTATGACCAACCCTTGTGGGGGGGGTGGTGTGTGTGCAGCAAAACATCTTTTGAGCAAATTTAGATTTTCATATACCAGCTTTACTTAAAACAGCCTTCCAGACGTCTGCTTGCTGCTGCTCCCGCTCCCGTGAGATCCATCTCAAAGTTTATGGGAAAATCAGGATAATGACAGAGCGATGACTTTAACTCGTCTCCCCTTTGATTTCTCCACAGAGAGTCTTTCTAAACCGACAGAGAAGTTAAAAATATTGAGACTCCATGGTGAGGAGGAGTTCGAAGAAGTCTGTAAGCTCGCCGGGGACGTCAGACTGAGAAACTTGTCGCCGCCAGCGTCGTTAAAAGGTAGAGACGGCTTCACCTGGTGGTCATTTTCCATGACCGAGGGCCTTTTGCTTTCTCTGTGGTACCTGTGAACCGAAAAAGAAGAGAGGAAGACGGCGAGACCCAGACGAGAGGGGCTTGTTTTCTGTCGCCCCAGGCGAGGGCGAGGGTTTCCCTAGGGTGGTGTCTCCGCTGCTCATTAGCAGCCACAGTCGCCCTGCGCGTGCTCTGGGGGTCTGGTTTAAACAGTTTTCTTCAGCTGTAGAAAAGAATGAGGTATTTTCAACTAGACAGAAGCCAAATCATGAGCGAGAGAAATGTAACCCTGACACTTTTTCTGCCACCTACTTTTATCAAAAGTGACAAGGAAGAATGCTGATGTCGGAGATGTATTATTATCTTCTTAAAGAAAAATGACTTTAAAGCAGTGTTCTCATAGGCGTTCAGCTCCAATTCATGCCATCTAGAAAGAACGTCAGATGTGTCGAAGGACGACCTGGGGATGCCCCGCGGTTCCCGGCCTCCGAAGGAACATCTAGCTCTTACCCGGGTTTTCATTTACTGCGTCCGCTAAAGAAGGAAGGCGGACCAGCTTGGCTTCTGTAGTGTTCTGTGGACAGGTCACCGAGTTCCAGTTTTGCCCCCGATGAGGATGCTGTGATGGGAAGGTGTCCCGGTCAGGGTTTCTGGGAAACCACACGAGCTGAGTTGCTGAGCTTAGATGAGACGTCGCCCTCGGAGCTAGGAACTCTCCGGCACTGTCATAAGCACAGGGACGGTGACGGATTGTCACGAGAATAAAAGAATCCCCGGGGAAGAGAGCGAGAAGCCTGGCTGCCGGGAGGTTCCCGGGGTAGAGAAGGCCAGGCAGAGAAGTTGACACAGACACGGAGGGCGGTCCCTGTGACCACCGCGCTTACCGTGACCCCACTCCTCGCGAACCCCTGTTCACGCTTCCACACGACATCGGAACACCTCGAAATGGCTCTTACTTTTGCCTGGCCATGGTGCGCTGCGCATTTCGAGACCACGGCGTCTGCGTTTTTCGTGCCCCCAGCATAAGCGCCATCTGTGCAGCAGGCACTAAGCGAACACTTCTTTTGGCTTCACTTGGCTGGGTTTCTGTGAGCAAGCACTGTAGAGCAGGACAGTTGTCCGGCTCCGGGATGCTTTGGTAAGGACAGATGACCAGTCCCCTGTTGTGTGGCTTTCCACCTGCAGAAATCTCTCTGGTACAGCTGGACAGCATGAGCCTTTCCCACCAGATGCTGGTGAGATGCGCTGCCATCATCGGCCTGACGTTCACCACAGAGCTGTTGTTTGAGATTCTTCCTTGTTGGAACATGAAGATGATGATCAAGGCCCTGGCGACACTGGTGGGATCCAACATCTTCGACTGTTTCCGGAGCGGCAAGGATCTCCGGATGGCCCTAAATCGGAACTCGGTCTCGTTCGAGGTGAACTACCGCTCCCTGTCTCTGAAGCCCAACGAAGGAGTGGGTGAGTAGCGCCTGCCAGCGACTCGCACGCCCGCTCGGGCACAGGCGCACGCGGGTCGAAGCACTGACCCGCGTGTGGTGGCGAGAGCGGCGTGCCGCCCTCCCCCTGGCCGAACCCTCTGTCCCCTCTAGCTCACGAGGAGGAGGAGGAGCTGCACGATCTGGAGAGCGAGGTCATCGAGTGCCACATCATCCGGTTCTGCAAGCCGATGATGCAGAAGACGGCCTACGAGCTGTGGCTGAAGGACCAGAAGAAGGCCATGCACCTGAAGTGCGCCCGCTTCCTGGAAGAGAATGCCCACAGGTGTCACCGCTGCCGCAGCGGGGACTTCATCCCCTATCACCACTTCACCGTGGACATCCGGCTCAACTCCCTGGACTTGGACACCATCCGGATGATGGCGAAGGCCCAGGGATTCAGAAGTAAACCTCCTTCATCGCCAAACGGGCCTACCCCCACCCCCACCCCAGGGAAGGTGGCGGCTCAGGCCCGGCAGGCCAGGGTCCGGACCTGGAGCATTTTGAGTCCCGGGGCGCAGTGAGCGAGGAGACTTCAGCAGCAGGGGCCTGGGGGAGGGGTGGAGCTGGGGGGTGTGTGCAGAACCAGTCTCACTGGGAGACACTGAGGCAGGATTAGGGAGCAAGGACTCTGGCGAAATGGGGGTGTGACCAGAGCTCGAATTAAAGTGTCCAGATTCACAGCAAGGGATGGAATTCTAGGGGGTGGGGGTGCGGGTGGGGGTGGGGTCCGACACGGTAAAGCCGGAGCGAGGGAGGCCCGCGAGGGAGAGGTGTTTCTTGGCAGATAAGAATGTTGTTGCTTTCTTAGTCTAGTTTGAAATGACGTTGCAGAGAAGAAGAGCGAGTGGAGGGAATTGTAAAGGGCCGAGCGGGTCAGGGCTCCAGAGAAGCGGCCTTGGGCTTCAGGGCAGGGACTCGAGACCACCTGTGAAGCAGGAGTGAAAAAGTCCCAAACCGATGACACGAGCCAGCTGTGAGGCCTGGGAAGGCACAGTGCCAGTGCCAGCTGCGGGACCTGGGAAGGCACAGTGCCAGCCGCGGGACCTGGGAAGGCACAGAGCCAGCCACGGGGCCTGGGAAGGCACAGTGGAGGATTCAGGGCCCAGGCCCTGTGGGCGTGATGGGTGTCAGACACAGGGCAGCAACGCCCACTCATTCCGGCCCTCACTCGTGGGCGGCCGGGACCACCGACGTCCGCCTGCCTGCTCCAGCCAATGGCCATGGTGACGATGCCTAAATCAGGTTGGAAACGCAGAGCCTAGCAGTAGAGGATCCCTATGTTATAAGGGTATTAAACACTGGGAAGAAATTTATGTAAAACGCCTAGCACATAGTAGGTGCGAATTATTTCTGATCATTCGCTCTCTATTTTGCGCGCATTCTCACCTGATCCTCATAGTACCGACCATTCAAGGTGGAGGGTTATTTTCATTTTATACGTGAGAAAATTGAGATCCTGGAAGATTAAAAAACTTGTGCAATTGCCACAGAGCCAGCGACAGATTTTATTCAGTGCCAGGCCGGTGTCGTCCCCATGCTCGCACCCGGGCTCGGGCTTCTGGGCCGTCATGGCCACGGAGATGGGGAAGTGCTTCCCGGATGCAGCATCGGGTGTGACTCGGAGAGTGAGGTGGCAGATCGATTCCCTTTCTGTTCCCTTTGCACACTGGATCAGGGAGAAAGCGGCTTTGCACGGTGGTTCGAGCTTGCTGTTGCCACTGCACAAATGCCAGCCGATCTCCCTTTCTAAAATCGAGGAGCCGGCTGTCGTTCGAGAGCCTTCGAGTCCGTGGAGACAGACAGTCTGTGCGTGTGGGTTCCGAGTCCCCTGAGGCCTCGGGCGCTCAGCCGGTGAGACTGCAGGAGTCGCGCCCGTCGGGGCAGGAAGGGCGTCGAGGGGACACGCACGCAGCATGAGCATTTATTACCTTTCCCCGCGTGCGCTGTATTTTCCCCGAATTGGAAATGTTTTCTATTCTTCTGAAAGTATATGTGTAACACGATGTTGGAATTGAAGTTTGTACCGAGCACTAAAATACCATGGGTGCTGCAAACCAAAGTGAGGTAAATAGATGGAGAAACAGGATTTGCAAAGGAAATGGCTGAGCATCCGCTATGGTCTCGGATCCTCATCCAGACTCACACACATGAGGAAGAGTGTGGAGAGGACCGGGAGTTCTGAAGACATTACTGGTGAGAAGCCGCGAGGTCCCATGTGGCCTCACGTTGGTCGCTTCCTTCGTCACCCCAACCCTAATTAGGTGTCTTCCTCGGAATGAACTAGAGGACACGGAGGACAGGGCCCGCCCCCTTCACCCCTAAGAAGGTGGGAGCGGCCTGTGGCTGCACTGGGATGGACCCCCCTCCAGAGTCTGGGGCAGGAAGCGTGAGCGCTTTTCACGGATCTGTAGTCGAGAGCAGATGTCAGCCTTGGAGATCTAACATTGAAAGCCATGGTGTATGGATGGGATTTAAAGTCAAGGGCAGATGATGTTACCGAGAAGGGAATTTGGCTGCAGAAGGGGGCCCAGAACCAAACTGAGGCTCACCGACGTTTGGCAGGCTGGCAGTGGGGTGGGGGCCGGCGGGGGAGAGAGCCGAGGGAGTGCTCGACTGCATTAAATAGGCTCAGAAGATGTGACCTTTGGCTTTAGCAGCCTTGGTGCCAGGGGTCACGGTGATGAGCAGTTTTAGAGGGGGAGGAGAATCGAGGCACCATCCAGCTCAGTCGAGAGACGCTAGACGGCAGCTCAGAGAGGTGGGCAGATGGGTCCTCGTACAGAGCGGTGGGGGCCAGGGGACAGGTCTGCGTGGAGGTGGACCGCACCCACGGCGTGGGCGCTCACCGTGGGAGCGAGGGCGCCAAGGGCTTTCAGAGGTGATGACCGCTGATTAAGTTGTGTTCTTAAAAATTAAAAGGTCTGTGGAGTGGTGCATTCGCCTCAAAGCCAGGAGGCCTGGGTTCGGGCCTGTCTCCAGCACTAACAGATGTACGACTGGAGACAGGTCCCCTCCCCTCTCCGGCGATCTTCCTTCTCTCGGCAGAGAAGTGGCTAAATGTGACCATCCTCCTCTGCTTTCTGTTTTAAGATCATTATGAAAGTTTCTAAATTATTGAAGTTAGTGTCGACTGAAGGTTTTAAATTCAAGGTTCTCTGCCCTTGAGTTAGCCTTTGGGTTATTACATTTAAATGTCTCTATTTCTCCGCTTAAAACTGATGCCACGTTCTTCTAGATCGTTAATTCGTAGTTGTGGTAACTGCTAAGTTTATGTTGTCATCTATAACAAACCTCAGCATTTCAGTGGCTTCACTCAACAGAATGAGAGTCGTTGTTGTTTCTCCTTTTTTTCCCGCACATGTAATCGCGGGGCTTCAGTTAAGATGCAGTGGGGACTGGGAAATGTAGTTCCTGGCTGGGCAGCAACAACGATATTTCGAAAGGGGTCTTTGGTGGGCACCAGATGTTTCTGCCACCTGGAGTATTTCAATGAACCATATGATTTTTATTTATTTTCTAGCTAAAGAAGAGACCACCCTTTCCAAGACAGGGATTGTTAAGAAGTGTGATATATTTTCTGAAAATCTCAGGTACTGGCACATATAATATTTTAGGAGGCAGAGCACAAACAGTTGTCATGAGATCATTTGTCTGGCCAGTACTTCCGGCCTTTTAGGTACAAGTGGAGAAATGTTGGGGGCGGGGGATGCGTTCGGTCAGCGGTACCCACACTGGGTTTTCTTTTCTTGCCCTTTTCTTAGTTTTTAAAGATATTTTCGTGTCGAAAGATATCCCATATTACAAGTTATTACTCCTATTTGTTTCTGCGTTTGGACAGTTCCGATGAAATGAGCGAGAGGATCTTGAATTTCTTTGACTCCGTTATAATCAAGATGAGGACATTTGAGGAAGACATCATTCCTTTGGAATCTTGCCAGTGCGAGGAGATCCTAGAGGTGGTCCTCATGCCTCTGGCTCACCATTTTCTGGCTTTGGGAGAAAACAAGAAAGCCTTGTATTACTTCCTAGAAATTGCATCTGCTTATCTCATCTTGGACGATAACTACATGGTAAGCCGTTTCTGCCCAGCCGTCCTCCACCCTTGAGACCTTGTAGAGACGGGAGACAGAGGGCAGCGCTCGTGTGCTTTTTGTGACTTCCTGTTCCTGTTCCTGTTCCTGCCAGCACCCCTTTCTTTTGCAAATCCAGTTGCTCAGAAGGGAAATGACCTGAGATTAAGAAAAGCGAGTTAGAACAAATCACAGCCGGCATTACACATCATTTAAAACACTGCCACCTTTAGACACCTGGGGTGACTTGTCTACCATATTTAAGGGCGGGGCCCCTATCTGGTTCCCAAGGTGATGCCCGGGGGCTCACGGAAGCGATGCTTCGGCCTTGGCGGTCTTCCTCGGGGATGCTGCAGCGAGCGGCACTTGCCCCGTCTCCCCAGACGCCTGCAGGTCTTTGGATACGTACGAATCTGGTTTGAATCTTATAATTCGTGCGAAATTCTCACACGTCCCTTTAGACGGCCAAAGCCCTGGTGAATGTTTCTCCAGGGCAACTGTAAATAAGGATCCAGGACAATATGCCCTTAGAAAAGTGGGGATGTGAGACATAGAATCGCATAGGAAGAACTCACTGTGAAGCAAGGCCGGGAGCCCCGCGCTGGCTCAAGCTGAGCAGGTTTCCTCACAGGGGCGTTTCAGAGGTGAAGAAACGCTAAGCCAACCAGCGGGTTTGGAAACCACTGTGTTTCCACATCTGTCTGACCTCAGGTCGCTGTCCCTGGAGCAGCCGGCCGGACTAAGCTTTCGCGACCTCCCCTGAGGAAAATCCCCTCTGGGCCTGACCCCGGCCGCTTCAGGGGGAGCCTCACAGCCGAGCAGCATGGCGCAGCCCCTCCGTGCCCTCCCTGGTGGCCTGCTCCACATTTTACAGTCGCCGTTGGTCGCAGTAGCCTGACCGACCTTCACACCTTAGATTTACATAAAATTTGAAAATTAAAAGCCCCAGTTCATTCAGTTATCCCCGTTAAGAATGACTGTCTCCTAGGCAAATTTCATACCCGCATGTGGGGACGAGGAGCGATGGCCGGTGAGCCCCGGGGAGAGAAGGGTTAGGGACCCCTGGAGCCAACTCGCTAATAAACCTGCACCCGTTGCCCATTTCGCTCTGTAGGAGTGAGATCCCCCGGGAACGGGAAGCCGAGCCCCAGAGCAAGGTCCCGGCGGGTGCCATGAGCACCCTCCCTCCCATCAGACAAAATCTGCAGGACCGGGGCTGGCGGCCAGCTCCTGTCTCCCCCTCCTCCTGCCTCCCACTCATGCCCCTCGGGCTGCGTGAGATTCGGGGTGTTGCTTCATCTTCAAGTCTGACCTCGCCCAGCTGTTCCGTGTGCCAGGACCCTCCTGCCCAGCAAAGTCACAAGACAAAGCGAGGAGAGGCGCCCGGGGCCAAGGAAGCGGGCGTGGCTGGCCACTCCCTCCAGCACGGGACCGGCTCCTCCTAGCCGTGGGCACCTATGGGTGGAAATAGGGGGGTTGAGGATGGAATTACTCAAAGGAGGAACTAGCCTTGGGGACATTTCAGTAAGCTGACAGCAGGAGAGGCAGGGAGATTGCTAGACTTACCCTCTAGAGTGAGCGATTCGGGGACAAAGATAGTTGTGAGGCGACCTGCATCTTAAGTGGGGGCCGGACGCACCCCGGTCCTATCCGGTGTGAGGGGCTGACCAGGTGCTGCGGGGGAAGGTGGCGGTGGCTCCCGGGCCTCGTCCTTCGGAGGCGTCTGGGGCGATGGCCGCGCCGTGGTCTGGATCCCCGCCGACTCCCCACTTGCAACTCTTTGCAGGCGTACACGTATTTGAACGAGGGGGAGAGGTTGCTGAAAACTCTCAAGAAGAAAAAATCCTGGAGTCAGACTTTCGAGTCGGCCACCTTCTATTGCCTCAAAGGTCAGGTAAGACAGCATTTAATTGATCAGTCACCACTGATCCGTGACTTGCCGTTGGGACTTTGCGTAGAGGAGGTAACTGTCATCCCTGTACCTTTCACACCCTCCTCCCAATCCCCGCCCCAGACACTTCCCCAGGCTCCGGAACCCCAGCGCTGAGACCCAAACTCCCCACCGTCACTCGCCAGCAGCAAGGTCTTCCTTGTCGTGACATCATCATGAAATATTTTTCTAATCACCTCACAAAGTAGACATGAACGGGCGAACACTTCCCCGGCGGCAGATGCCAGATCCTGGTCACTCAACCGTCCTTACCCGAGCATCCGGGAGACCTTTCCTGTCATGCCAGGCGCAGGGGCGGTTTTGTCCCTGGGCCACAAATTACCTTTTTCGGATAAGAATCTGAAGAATATGGATCGCTGGAGCATACCGACGAAGCCCGGAATCGCTGCTTTTCCTCCCGTCCCCACAGGTCTGTTTCAACATGGGCCAGATGGTGCTCGCCAAGAAGACCCTGAGGAAGGCTCTGAAACTCCTCAACCGAGATTTTCCGTGCAACTTAATCTCCCTGTTCCTCCAGACCCATGTTGAGAAAAAAAGACACTTTCATTACATGAATCAGCAGGCCCAAGAGAGCTCATCTCCAGAGTAAGAGGAGCAGCCGGGGAGAGCTGGGGGCCCCCCTCACTCCCCAGAGACGGGGCCGCTACGCACATGGCACCACCCAGCCCCCCGAGCGGTTCTGGCGGCTGGAGCTCTGAGGTCACAGAGCCAGCACGCCCTGGCCAGGGCCCCTAGGGTTTCGCAGACTTCTCGTTGTGTCCTCACGTGGAGCACTTGGGGGACCCCTTCTGTGACGGGGGTCCACCCTCAGGACTTGATAGGAGTCAACATACGAATTTTAGGGGGAAGCATACAGAACACAGCGGAATGTAATTGTTAAAAACGTTCCGTTCCCTCACTGAGCTGAGAGCTGGCTCTTGACAAGCACATGCGATGGAGCAAATGACACGGGACAGGCCAGGCTGGAGGCGGACGGGGTGCGAGTCCCGGAGCCCCCACATCCTGACCGTGCGGCTTTGAGTTACTTAAGCTGAGTCTCACCTTCTGCTTGCCTATAATGGGGTTCCTTATTCCTTTCTTTCTTACAGGATTGTCACCAGAATCAAATGTGACTAAATTAAATAATAGAAATGGGCTTTTTAAGTAGCTTCATTTAAATAACAATGACCCGACAGTTGATTTACATAAATTATCTTGATGAATCCTCACAAAGTAGATGGCGTAGTCCCCATTTTGCAGTGGAGAAAATGTGTTTGATGAAAATCGGTGTATGCTGGTGACGGAGGGTGGGCTCGAGCCCAAGGCCGTCCAGACCCCACCCGAAGCCTGCGGTGGGGACTGTGCGCTGACGCCTGACTTCCGTGCCCCGCGTGTGTGCTCTGCCTTGTCACAGGAAGAATAGGCTGGCACAGCTGTACCAGCAGACGGCCTGCTTCTCCCTGCTCTGGAAGATCTACAGCTTGAACTACTTCGTCCACTACAAGTACTACGCCCAGCTGGCAGCCATAATGCAGGTGAACACGGCCCTGGAGACGCAGGACGCTTTCGAGGTACGGTGTTCTCGGGGCAGCTTTTGAGCTTCCTGCAGCTCATCTGGGGAGAGAAGCCCGGGGAAGCGAATCAGGACTCCAGACCGCGAGGCCCTAACGCGAGCCGCAGCGGACCGCCACTCGGGCAGACGAGACCGAGAAGCTGTTCGGGGACATCCAGCCCGTCTACTCAGAGGGACCTGGTTCTTCATAGAAATACGTCACCTGTGGGTTTCTCCTGTGCGATCAGTTCCTCTTGGGATCATTAGTTATCGAGGGTGAAGGGACGCGGTGCTGGCGGAGCGGGAGCTCCCGGCCGGGGTCTGTCCCCACCGCGAGCTCCTCCCGGCGAGCCGCGGTCCCTAAGGATGCAGAAGGCCCGCTTTGAGGCCTGGAGGCCTGGAGGCCTGGAGGCCCGGAGGCCGTCCTCCTCCTCCTTCCGGTCCCTTAAATATCTAAGTTCAGTCCCATCTTAGGGTCTTTGCACTAGACGATTCCTCTGCCCGGAAGGCTCATCTCTTGACCTTGACAGTGCTCTCTGCTTATCAGCCGAAGGTCACCTCCTCAGTGACGCCTTTTTCTTGACCGACTAACCCGGTCCCTCCCTAGCCTGTCATCGTGTTTCAGTAGCTCTTGTTACCATCTGATTTTTTGTTCTCTGTTGTGAGCTTGTGGCCTGTGTCCCCTGCCAGGTCCCTGAAAAGCCTGTGAGAGCAGGGACCTTGTCTGTTACCTTGTTCATACCCTGAGCTCCTGGAAAAGTGTCTGTCCCTAGTAGGTGCAGATCAAGTATTTATGGGACGAAATGCTTTACTCTTCCATACTTGGGGCTATGTCCTAACAACGTGGTAGAGTTGGGGGGCAGGGGAAGATGAGACGGAACAGTCAAAACCGGAAAGCGAATCAAAAGACACTTGTTTACGAGACGGCGGGGTAGGTCCGGAACAGCATGGGCGTTCAACCGACGCAGACGAGGTCCTCAGAGCGGGAGCACAGACGGACCCCGAAAGAACTGAGACTGGAGCCTCCAGGCCCACGTCTGTCCGCACTGTGACCTCGGGCACAGCCTCTGAGCTTCCCATCCCGGGACGCGCAGCAGCCGGCCCAGCCCCCTGGTGGAGCCGGGCGGTCCTGGGCTTCCTTGCGGCTTTGGGTTCGCCCGCCGTCCTCTCTCGTCCAGCGCCGTTTCTGGCAGCCTTTCCCTGCTGGTAGCGTTATCTGCTCTGAAAAAACGAAGCAACCTTCCTTTCCTGTTAAATTTTTAAACATTACTACGCGTCTGTTATAACAAATTAGACATCACAGAAATGCATAAAATAAAAAATGCGGTTCCTCTCCTCCCTCCACCTCTTGTCCAGCCCCAGCAGGCAGGTAAGTACTGGTGACCTTGGCTTCCCGGCTTCCTGCTGTGCAGACGGATATCCGCATTTATCAGCTATCGCTTTTATTTTTCATAAAAATTAAAATTCCCATATTTTGTTTAAGGACTCTGTGGGCAAGAGGGGCCATCGAGCTTGTCCTGGACGACCTGATAAATAAGCGGCAGAAACTCAGCTTAATTTCTGCCCCGAAGCCAGCTCCATTCCCGAGCTGAATGGACATGTGGGCCCCGCAGACCCCGGGCGGGCGCCGGGCGCCGGGCTCTCTGCTTGGGCTTCCAGCTCCATCTCGCCCCTCCGCTCCCCACTGCTGCCTTTCCAGATTGTCAAAGCCTACCTGGAGTTCTCACTGCACCACCAGCTGGCCGGCGACCAGGGCGTGTGGTTCAAATACGAAATCATGGCCATAGAGCACATCTTCAGCCTCCCGCTGAAGAGCGAGGGCATCGAGACCGTGGCTTACGCGGCCGCCACGCTGGGCTACACCAAGCTCACAATGGGTCACTTGGACTTGGCCATTGACTTAGGTAAGGGCAGCTTGAGCACGAGGTCACATGCAGCTACATGTGACACCCTGAAATAGACAAGAGCGTTTTCTCCTCAGGCTCACGAGCCCAGAAGATGTGGGCACTGCTCCGGAACCCCAATAAACAGTACAGAATCCTCTGCTGGCTCAGTAGATGCCTCCTCCTGAAAAACAGGTATTTGGTCTCAAAGCACTTTCCAGAACCAGGGGCAGGAAGCTGCGGAAGCTGAGTGTTCTGGGCTCCGTCGCCCTGGCCACAGGGCGCAGAAAGGAGAGAGCTTGCGGTGCGACGATGTAACTGACAGTCACCACCCTCTGGAGTCCGCCGCTGTCCACTGGGATTCCTCCACGCGCCCCCTCCATAACCTCATCACTCCAGCCAGGGACTGGCGGAGAGGCGGCCGGCCATCCCCGCCCGGGGGTCAGGCCTCCAGGGAAGGGGACATGCCTGGCAGGGGCAGCAACGCCCAGAGACGAGCAGCGCGGGGACCAGAGGCCCCAGGGCGCTGACCGCGCTCGCCCACAAAAGCCGTCTGAACAGGGAGCCCACTAGAGGGAGGTCGGGAGCGGGCCGAAGTCTGTTTAAGGGTTGGATTTGGTCGTGAATGACCGAGCAAGACTGAGACTAAACGGGAGCCAGACCTCCCCCCTCCTCCCCACCTCCCAGCGGCCCTTTCTCATCCGCAGACACAAGCATCTGATCCAGGTCCTGGGGTGGCTGTGGGACCTGTCCATGGCGGAAGGGCACATCTTCGGCAAGGCCTTCTTCTATTATGTCTGCCTGGACATCATGCTTTATTCTGGTGAGCGTGGCCGGCAGATTTTCGAGGCTGGGGCTGTGACACGCGTGCTGGTGTGGCATGGCCGCTCTCAGGGCGGGGCTTGGGGACCCCTAGACGGGGAAGCAGGGAGCCTGGTGTGTGGAGCGGAGGCTCCTCCTGGAAAGTCAAGGGTCCTGAGAGACCAGCACGGAGGAGCCTCATTCTGGAGGAGCCTGCTGGGCAGAAGCCGTCCGTGAAAGTATCAGATCAGTGTACGCACAAGGGACAGAGACGGCCAGTGCTCGCTCTGTGCCTTTCACTAGGGTATTTAAGTTTTAGCAGGATGCCCTCGGTGACATCGGGCTTTAGAATGAAGGACTGGGTTGCTAGCAGGAGAGTTCCAGGCACTGGCAGCGGCTGGCGATTTGGGAAACAAATCCTGATAACCTTCCGTTTACACCAAGCAGGCAGCGTCCATACTAAACCAGAGGGGCCAGCCTGGCGCCGTCCTCCCCACGCGGGACTTTGAAAGGGGATGCAGGTGCTGCTGGCAGGGGTGGGACAGTGGACAAGTCCCAGTGGCACTAAGGCCTCCTTGGCCGCGAGCAGGGAGGGCGGGTTGAAACCCCACTCCTGCCCGGCCGACACTAGGGAAGTCTGTGGTGTAAGCACACACGTGCACACACGCCGGGGCTCGGTGGGCACGGGCGGAGCGGTCACGTGGCCGCAGCAGTCCACGGCCCCTGGACTCAGAGCCTGCGGGCTGAGGCCTCGCCCTCCAGTGGGAAGGTCTCCTGGGAACTACGAGGCCTGGAAAATCCCCCCTCCCCAGCAGAGCCCCCCTGTGATTTCTCGTTCAGGCTTTGTTTACAGGAAGTTTGAAGAATGTCTGGACTTCATCTGCCAGAATGAAGACAACAGAATCCTCAAGTTCCGCAGTGGACTCCTCCTGGGCCTTTTCTCGTGTGTGGCTATCTGGTAACCACGGGCTGCATGTCACTAAATCCTCAAATTTGAAAACACCGAATCCTGAAAAGACGTTCTGTGAGACTTAAAAAAAGGATAAAGAAAAGAAAGTGAAAGTATTTTATCATTTATACCTGAGATGCACTGAAGGCGCCGGGTGCCCTGACTCTGGAAGACACCCGGGGATCACTAGTGCGGGTGGGACAGGGACGCCACCTCGACCGCATCCCGTGCAGCAGGCTTCGTTCCGCCTGTGCCACGTGGCGCTGCCAGAGATGAGCAGGGAAGGGTGCCCGCTCTGAGGAGGGCCGAGGTTGCAGGGAGACTAATAAATGGCGTCACTTGCCCCAAGATCTAATCATACTGAGAAGCGCTGTCGGCAGAGCCGGTGTCGGAGACCGTGGCCGATAGCGGCTGGCCGGTGGGCGGCTTGGCAGTGAAGCCCAGGCTTAGACTGACCCACGCAGCAGCCGGCGGTTCTGGAAAGACACGTCTCCCTCATGGAGGCAGGCACTGAGCTGCACTCCTGACCTCTCCCCCAAAGTCTGCAATCGAGGCGCCCCTTTCCCCCAGAGGAGGCGGGGGGCAGGGACCGGAGCCCGAGTGTTGCCAGCCGAGAGCCTGCGCACGGAGGAGATGGCGGGCGGGAGGGAGGCGGGTGGCCCCAGAGCTGGTGAGCCGGAGGCGGTGCCTCAGCTTAGTCAGCTTTTAACTCGATAAGCCCGCGGCCATGGCCTCAGCCTCCAGTAAGGAAACCAGAAGGGCCCAGAACATTAATTAGTCCCACAGCTACCCCAACCCCGAAAGTCACTCCCCTTCTACTTCCCATCCCAAATTCTATATGCCGCCGTGTTGCCCAGAAGGGATTAAATGACACCATGCAGACGTTCCTATATAAAGTGCCACAAGCTAGAGCAGTTCTGAATTTGAATAGAGGTCTCCTGTTATTATAAAATTCCTCGGGAGAAATCGAAACCCCCAAATTAATTACCCTTGCCAGTTAAAGTCCAAAGAAACGAATGTTCGAGGTCAAATTAACTTGCCCATGTGGGTTAAAGTTTCAGGAATCTAAAGCCCACACGTCATCGTAATTTCTTCTACCCTATTTCACCTGGAGAGTTCCTCCAACGGCTGTGGCCCCGGCCAGTGCTTCTCAGAGCAGTGCCGGCCGCCGCCACCCTTCCCGGAACGAGGGCAGCTTCTCCAAGCCCTAGAATTTATAGCTCCAAGTGTCTGATCCGCTTCACTTTGTCGAGTCCCAGGAAAAAGAGTGGCTAACACGGCCCGAGTGCTCCCAAGGGCGCTCTTCCTCTCGAACCCTCAGAACACCCTTTCCTTCCCGGGCTGCACGTCTCCTCCGGGTGGGCGGGCGGCGGGCCTCCCGAGAGGTTGGCGAGGGACAGCGGCCCCTCCGAGGGCGCACTGACTCTTCCCGTTCTCCTGCGGTCAGGTATGCCAGACTCCAGGAGTGGGGCAACTTTATCACATTTTCCAGTAAGGCGAAAACTCTAGTGCTGAGACGGACGCCGACGACGCTTTACCTGCTGGGAATGTGCAGGTACCTGGAGGGGCAGGTGCTCTACCTCCAAAACCAGATCGAGGAGCTGTCGGAGAATGCGCAGGACAGCGGGGTCGAGATATTCAAGGTGAGGCCGCCGGGGGGTCTCCGTCTCCCCGTCGCCTTCCTGCCCGCAGCCCTCTCGGACACTTTCCAGAGCACGCTGGCAAGACGCATAAATGTCTTTCGGGCGGGCACGCCACCTGTCCCCGTGGTTCTCCTCCTGGGAAGTGTCCCAGGGAAGTAATCGGATGGCCAAAATGTATCTGTAAAGATGTCGATTTCAGGTTTACACTATTAAAACACGAGGAGAAAATAAAAACTATACGCCCTTCAGAAAGAAGATTGCTCAAGTCAGAAATGGTACATTGAAACACTGGGATATTTCATATAAAAAAGCTTGAATTTCTGACACTTTGAAAAACTAAAGTAGCTGACAACACGAGGCCCTCATTCCAAAGGGCAGCTTTTGGCTGGAACTGACACGGGGTGACAGCCAGAGCACGCTTTCTGCCCTGTGACGCGATCCCCATGCTTCGCAGCTACACGCAGCCTGCTTCTTCACGTTACGTGCCCGGCTCCTGCCAGCACTTAAATTTGTGAGTCTGATGTAAAGGAACCATGTCATCGAAAATGTTCAGAACCTGATGGTAAATGAGAAAAGAAATGTTAGTCTGCCGCGTGAGCACTGTGACGGCAGCTGTGGCGGGGACGAGTGAGTGTGCGTGCGTGGGCCAGAGCGGGGGTGGCGGGCAGAGAATTCGAAAAGTTAAGGAAGCACGAACTCAAATGTTAACGATATTTCTTTCCGGTGCTCGGGTTATGGGCGATTCTTAGGCTTTCGTTATTTTCATTTTTTCTCCCCTGAATTTTGAACAATGAACTTATACTGCTTTGGTAAGCAGAAGAAAATGTAATTTTTTTTTCTTTTTAAAGTGGTCTGGGTGGGCCACCTGATACTTGTCATCTTATCTCCGCTCCTTCCCATGTCTGTCCCTGGAATACACTTTTCGCTTTCTTGCTGTATCCTTGAATTGTCCCCAAATCGTCTGTGAAGGAAAAACTGCAGTCGAGGGGCCCTTTCTGACGCCGATGTGCTGTTTTCCCTCCAGAACTTGGAGAGCCTGGTGACTCAAAACACCACCGGCGTCGTGTTCTACCCGCGGCTCTACCACCTGATGGCCTACATCTGCATCCTCATGGGCGACGGGCAGAACTGCAGCCTCTTCCTGAACACCGCGCTGAGCTTCTCCGAGACGCAGGGGAACATGCTGGAGAAATGCTGGCTGAACATGAGCAAGGTCGGCACCATCGCCGGCGACCCGGGGTGGGGCGCCCGCCTTCTCAGGGAGCCCCGGTGGGTTTTCCCGGGCGCGGAAGGCCACCACGGACCGTTCTGGAATCGGACTGAGAGAAGGGACACGCCCCGAGTTCAGCTAGGGCCACCTCCCCCTCCTGCATTCTCATGGGGTCTTCCCTTCCTCCCAACCCCTTAGCAAGGTCGCTGCCCCCGTCCTGTGGCCCTTGCCACTTTACAGTTGGTGTCGCCTCCGCCCCCGGAGGCAAAAGTGCCTCCGCCCCCGGAGCACAGCGCCTTCTACTCGAGATCGGTCGAGTAAGTGGACGAATGTCCACTCCTCTGTGTTTATGTGCAAAGTCACGTGTCACCCTCGTTGGGGCAGCGAAATTCACTGTCTGTGGGTTCGCACGGTTTCCAGAGCGGCTTCCGGTGTCAGACCAATGTGGCCGGCACTGGTCAAGCAGCGCTGATGGCCCCTCGCTTCTCTCTGCCCGCCCCAGGAATGGTGGTTCTCAAACTCCAAGCTGACGGAGGACCATTGGCGTCGGACAGTCCAGAGCCTTCCATCGTGGGAGAAAATTTTAGCCAACAAGGTGAACGTGCAGGATATTCAAAAGAACAAATTCCTGATGAGAGTGAACATCCTGGACAACCCCTTCTAACCTTTCTGGAACGAGACGACGGCTTTAGCCAGACTGTCTCTCTCGCGATCACCCGCCGTTAACCTCGCCGTGGCCAGCACCGCCTGGCCCCCCGCACCGCCGCCTCCGTGAGACCCGGACCACGCGCGCTGCAGCCTTCCCTTCCCGGGGGGTCCGTACTTTCCCCCTCCCCGCTTCGCACGGGGCCTTTGTCTTTCCGCCCGTGCGAAATCGTGACACACGGGAAGACAGCAGCATCGAAATGGTCCATGTTGCGACATCCATTTCTAGTTAACCTATTAAACCGACAACGTTTGTTTTTAAAGGGCCAGTTGTTCGATCTTTTGTACGTAGCACAGGATCACCAACAGCGAAGTCTCATCATGGTGTGTGAGCGCGCGGTTTGAAAAGACACGTTTCTGCAGTGCAGCTTCAGGCATCGATTATCTGCGGAAGCGACGTTTTTAAAAGTTGAAATGTGGGTCGTTTTGATGTGGGCATCTTGTACACGCTTGGAGAGCATGTGGTTTTACATCTCAGAAAGTGACCGCGGCCACCTCCCAGGTGTGGGAGGGGCTGGCCCAGAGCCATCGGCCGCCACCGCCTCGCCCTTGGCAGAGGGAATGGTTCTCAGTGACGTTCTGTGCCTCTGCAGCCAAGGGGAATAGCGTCGACCCAGCGCGTCTCTGTGCTGCTGCGGCCGCCTCGTGGCGGGGACTCGGGTGGCCACGTCCAGCAGGCACCACGCGATTCCCGACTTCTGATGTCCAGTCCCGTTCCGACCGGAAGTGGTTCCTCTGACGGGCATCGAGGTGTCCTCGTGACCGCCCAAGGCGATGCCCAGACAGGCGTCCTTCTCATAGGCCAGTCCCTCGCTGCCCTTCTTTGAAAGGTGAAGCTGTATTTTTCCTCCTGGTGACAGCTGGGTTCCACGAAGGAGCCTGGACACGCCGTTGGTACCTCGAGGTCAGCTGACCAGAGGCCGGGGCCCCGGCGCAGTGGGCGGCCCTGCCGCGGGCTCTGCAGGGCACACACTTGATTCCTGTGGCTGGTCACCTGAGCTCCCCGCTTCAGGGCCGGCATGGCGATGAGGTCCTCCAGCGAGAAGCTCCTCCCCGGCTTCACGGACTGCCTGTGTTTTGTGGTCTTCTGACTGGGCGGGGCTGGAGGAGGCAGAGGGAGGGCGGCCGTTACCGGAAGTGCAGTGGTGACTCTCAAGGACGGATAGGAGACTGGACGGGGGAAGAGGTGGCAGCAGGCCGTCTGCAGTTCCATTTCCCTCCACGCGTCTGAATCCAGAGTGCGCATCCGGCTTCACAGGAACCTGAACTTGGGTCCTGGCCCCGACCTCGCCACAGACCAGTTATGTGGCCTCCTTGTCAGTTTTCTCCTGTCCAAACTGCACAGGTCGTGACAAGGTCCCTTCCCTCCCCGACCAGCTGCGATCGCGCCTCCCACCAGTGTGTGGCCGCGGGTATATCCTCGCTCTGGCCAGCAGGGGGCAGCGCCGGCTCTTGGCGCTGACCACCGGGTCCCGTCTGCAGACCGCAGCCTGGGCTGGGCACTTAGAGCCACACCAGCTTCCCCAGCCGCTCCCCTCATTCCTACAGGAAGCCTCCAGCAGGAGGCCCTCGGCCATCCCTGGGGAAGCAGGTCTGGCTAGAAGTCTCTTTAGGAGAAGACAATCTACCAAGGCTTGAGGAACAGGCGGGGATGGAGAGATGATCCACCCTCTGACCCTTTAACCTGAGACTTCGATCGCCCCACCCTGAGTCTGCGACCCCCTCAGGGGCAGAGGCTCTGTCCTCATGCTGCGCAGTAAGGGCTCAGAAGCGTCCGTGAATTAACGAGCACGTTAAAGAACGTCTCCATTTCATCGTCTCGAGTTAGGTGTTACAGGAACCCTGAGAGGTAGGAACATGCTTATCCAATGACGAAGCTCTGTAGGCTCTCGCGGAGACCCACGAAAACCACCGAGCACTGCTGGGGCCACCGGGCTCTGTGCCGGGGTCATGACAATGACTGAGCAGCAGCCAGCACGGTGGCCACAGGTGTGGGCCTGCGGCCTCACTGGGCTGGGCCCCCACACTGCCGGCGGCTAGGTTTGCGTCCTGGGGCAAGTTAGTCAAAGGAGAACCCGCTGATTCTGGGAAGGCACTCAGAATTCCGCTGGGGGACAAACGGGCAACTAAAATGCAGAAGCTATCAAGGGGACTGCCGGGGACCAAAGGCTAGAGGCACGCACCTCAGTGTGGCTTTGGAAGCTTCTAGAAAGCTTCCCGGAAGAGGAAATAGAACTCAGCCAGCCAGGTGACGACTTTCCAGATAGGTACCTGACATTCAGGGCTGCAGAGGTTTCGGATGCTGTGGAGAGCCTGGGTCCTCACACCTGGTCTACTGAGCGGGAGGAAGTGTGCGAATAACGACACAGGGGTGGGGGGGGCGGGTGGGGAGGGTCGCTAAGGGCCTGCGGGCAGGCGGTGCAAGCCACCCAGTGACTACTGAGGCAGCGTGTGGGCCACGTGCCTCCTTCAGAGAAACTCCGTTTGCAGAGAGTGGACCGGCAGAGGGCTGTGCCCGGTGAAGCCTGAGCCGGGACGGCCCGCAGTGGAGAGAGGGCTGGGGAGTGGACGTCAGGGCTTGGGCTGGAGAGACGTGGGGGGAGGTGGGACCCACCCAAAGCAGAGACGGGCCTCTCAAGGAGGATGCTCCAGTCACCAAGGCAGAGCGGGAGGCCCAGGAAACTAAGGCGGAGAAGGTTCCAGCACTCACGGAGCTCCTGTTGTGTT